GTCAATGGAAAGTCCCCACAAGGATAGAGACATAGTAGGTGTGTGTGTGGGGGGGGGGTGCTTTGTTTAGAAGATTTAAACCAAATTGCATTTACTGGCAGGAACACTGATATTAGAAAACATAAAAAGCAACATTCAACAGTTAAAGGGACTGTCATCAATCAAATCAAACTACAAACAATTTTATTTTGACTTTTGTTCTCTCCTCCACTTCGTTCCAGAGAAGTTTGTTTGATTCTGTTCCACTAAGAAAAAAAAAGATCAAGGTTCTCCTAAAACACTTTCTGAGAAAGCTGTAAAAGATACAAAGCATATTCCTGTACATGAGCTCACGTCTTCTGAAGCTCACTGAACTCATTAAACATCTACAGATATCGATCTATCTACTAGTGTTTGTATAATCATGTATTAACTCTGAACTGCAAACTGAATATGACATCAGTAAGCAAAACTAAACAAAGTGGCAGCTATGGTGAATAAATTAAAACTTAAACATTATCTCCCCTCCTAAAAAAACTGACTAAACATAAAGTTTCTTCTCAGGACAGCTGGTACATACTGCTGTATGCATTTCACAAAGGTTGCTTATAATGTCAAACACGGTCAAATGTAGGTGACACGGCTGGTGAGTAATCATACACTGCTCATTGTCTGCTTTCATGCTGCTGCATCAGAGCTCGCTTACCTCTGAGCCAACGACAGCGCCGTCGGAAACCTGAGCCTTTCTCTTCGACGTAACGCACATTCGGCTTAACAGCAAAGGTGAACTACAAGATCGTTACACGCTGCTGGATTTCACTTCTCTCACAAAGTWTCTGACCCTGAGGATTTTACTCTTCTAAAACCTTGATATTGATGAAATGAGCAAACTGATGATCAGTCAATACAAAAAGAATTTCAATGAAGCTGTCAGATCCATTGTGCACAGGCTGTTGTAAATGTTGTAATTCATGTTGTACTAAATACTTCTGTGATTATCTCAAGGAATATAAAACTTCAGTATTATATTTTCTGCTATAAAGTGAGGGGATATATACTGTACATAACTGTATGGGCAATAGTATTTGACCACACGTCAAAATTTTACAGAATACTAGTTTTTTCTACATACTATTCCATAATATTCAACCAAGATTAAAATGCTTGGTTCACTACTACTCAGAGCTGGGTAACTACGTACATTTACTCAGTTACATTTACTTGAGTAACAGGGTTGGTCAGGTTTAGGTTTAGTAGGAAGCTTGGTAAACAATAATAGACTAAAAAAGGTACAATTGGTCACTTTCAGGCCCAGGCCTCCCTTGCAAAACAGATCTGTAACCTTTGCCTAGTTAAATAAAAACCTGCTGGAAAAAAATGTACATTTAGAAATAATTTTACTACATCAAACTTTTTTACTTTACTTGAGTAATATTATTATGAAGTACTGCTACTCCTACTTGAGWAAAATTAATATTCTGCCCCCTTTATTTAACTTCACTGAATGAAGAACATGCTTTAACCAGATATGAACAAAAGACACGACTACAGTTTATGTTGAAGTGAGACGTCTTGTTTATCACAAGCTTTGCTGTTTTAATGATATTTTCTATCTGCTGAGTCATTTGGAGGTCAAGTGAATATATGGCGAAGAGTAGATAAAGTGACTGGAAGTAATTTACTCTGTTCTGTTATATATAGTTATTTTTTGTATTAATTTTTTTCTTAGTCTTTAAAAACACCAGAATTTTGCACATAACTTTCTATTTTCTGTCAGTCTGATGACATCATTTTAAAGTATTAAATCAGATGTTAGAATCAGTTACTGAAGTAGCCTTTTTACTTTTTTTTTTTTACTCATATGTACTTGAGTAATTTATTGGATGGCTAATTTTTATTTTTGCTTGAGTAAAAATATGCTGAAGTAGTGTTACTCTTACTTGAGTAGGCATGAGCCAGTTACAGGTTTCAMGGTATACCGTGATATGAAAAATTCACGGTTTCAAACCCACTAAAAGTTTCTCTCATATCGTTCCTACAGTATAAGTGGCATTTTTTTGAAATCTCATCAGTGAAAAAGTAGATTTTTCCTCCGGTTCTGTGCATCTGCAGACTTTCCCCCACTTTCCCCACTCCCGTGTACTCGGCAGCTCTGTGCGGGTGCAGGTCGTGTGATGGCCAAACTTTTTCCTTGTCWAAAAGATTAAATTCAAAATATTGGAAACCATAAAAAGACGGACGGCAATGTCTTGCGGGCAGTGGAGGCAACGTACGTTTTATGATCGCAGCACCAAAGTTTATGCTATCTTGAAATGAACGAGCTAATGTTAGCATCAAACATTAGTGAAACATATCACCGTGTTGCTCTGGCATGCTGCTCAAAACTTGTCTTTAAAATTGTTTTGGAGTTGTTGTATTGTGTATTTGATGAGTTTTAAGTGAAAAGYGATAGAACCGAATGCCTCYGAATGYARCTCRTTAGCTGAACGTACGTTTCAWAAACACACATTCAAAGATGGGATTTCTGTTGTTTCTGTGTGTGTGTAATGCTTCATATATACACAATCTTTATGTCAAACACCCCATTCAGAATCTAAAACACAATAAAAACTCCCAACGTGATACATTGCTTCTATAAAAGACTTGTGGTGCAGTATGCATTGATTTGTTTTTTAATAAAGCAGGAGAAAAGCAGTTATCCTTTATCAGGGTAACTTAATTGCATTAGATGCTAAAAATCATAAGTATAAATGCACACAGGTAAATAAAATTTCAGCGTAACACCTCTGTGATCTAAAAACAGCTTCCAAAGATAATTAAAGTTGAATATGATAATAGAAAAGTTTTTTTTAAATACCAATTCCATAATAAAACTTTTTAGAGCTGTAATCATAATACTGTGATATTTTTGCTCAAGGTTATACCATCATAATTTCATACCGTCCCATGCCTAGACTCTACTGTTTGTTCCCAGTGGAAGGTGGATTGTAATGGTTCTATTACTTACGCATCTGGCTCTGGCTCCTTGTCATTTTGGGGCTTTTGCTGGGGCTGAAGAACACTATTTACCAGATCACTGATCCCACTAAAGGGAAACCACCTGTTCAAATAAGCAAAGTGTGGCTTGAAACATTGCAGTGAGTCATCACAGAGGAAAAACTGTTCAGGAAGCAGGTCGGTTTAAAGGACCGATCGACTGCAGGTGCATTCACCACAATCAGAGCAGATAGAGGAGAGGGCCAATACACGGGCAGAGCGGCAGTGACTGAAACACCGACAACCAGAGGCAGTGTCAGAAATACAGTGAGAGGGGCAGAAGACGACACTGGGGTGAGAATGGCAGACTCAAAGTGGACACGGGGCCGGTCAAAAAAAAAAAGATCATCTCTACAGCCAGTGGGAATGAGAGCTGCAAGAAGCGCTCAGGTAAGAGTCAGAGAAGAGTCACTTTTTCCTTATTGAGACAAGAGGGGTCAGGCATTCTGATTGTTTAGTTCAACACACAGATTGGATCAAGATAAAGCTGTTACACAATCAAAGYGGACAGGTTCATCGGTTTATTTTTGAACTACAAGGTTGCACAAGCCAACCGGAGTGCAGATGATACACTGGATGAAGATGAGCAGCAAGAAGAAACCAGAGACAAGGGAGAGGTATGAGAGCCCAGCCATGGGATTCAAAACCAGATGGTTTCAAATTAAAGCAATAGTCACTGATGTCATGGAAGTAAGATGTTTAGAATGAAAAAAAATCTCCTGTGAGACATATTAAAACAATTATAAATGAGTAAGGATGGTTTTCTTTATTTTTTCCCATGACATTAATGACGTTTCTTTCATTTAACCTCCAGACAAAGAGAAGAAAGCCACATGAAGCACATAGCACCAAACACCAGGAAGAAGTGTCAAAGCCTGGAGCACTCTGGGTAATGCAGTTTACTTACTGTGCTGGCTGAGGCTTTGCTTCTTCTTTGATCCTACAACATAAAAAAAAGTTTTGCACAGCTTAGTGCATAAAGAACACAAAACGATGATGAAAACAAATCTAAAATACACTAAAATGAAAGTGATGATGCCTCTAAAGATAAATAAATAAAAATATGAAAAACATATAAATAATGAGAAACTCTGAAACACTCATAATGGTAGTGGAGATAACAAGGTCACCATAAAGATGGATTTTCAAAAACGGTGATTGAATTTATATGAAATATAAAATGACGCTTCATGTGAACAATGTTTTCTCTCAGACTGGACGCTGTGACACTGACAGGACTTTATTAAACAYAAGATTTCAACTAGAAAAGGGTGAATCCCAAAAGCTAGTCCACCTTCATGATACAAGTTATTGCAAAGCTATAACTCTTAGTTTTCACAAAACAAACACAAACAGCTGTGGCTCCAACCAGCATCAAAATGATACCAGTTCTCTGAGGCAACCAACAGGTACACATGTTCCCCACAGCAGGTTAACAAACGTATGCTAGACTGATAACACCAGAACTCACAAAACAACAACCAGTCAACATTTTTCCCCTGACTAAAATCAGGCCTTCAAAAACCCTTGATAATAAACACAACCACAAGTCCAAAATGTAGACATGTTCATTCATCCATTTTCTTTACTTGCTTTCTCCTTTCTGAGTCTCCAGCTGTGTGAGAGGCTGGGGACACAAGTCCATCACAGGACACACAGAGACAAACAACCAACACTCTCTCACTCCCACCTAGGGACAATTTAGAGTTGCTAATAAACCTATCCTGCATGTTTTTGTTTTGTGGAAGAAAAACAGAGTACCTGCTGAAAACCCATGGGAGAACACACAGGAAGAACATGTAAACTCCACCCAGAAAAGCCAAGAAGCAAACCTGCACCTTCCTGTTGTGAGGCGACAGCTCTAAACCCTGCTCCACCCAGCACAGATGTTATTCTAAAGCTTGTATGGACTTTTGTATGGTGCCTATACAGATGTGTCTAATGCACCTCAATACCATCAGAGAGGCAGACTTTTGAACTGCACTGATAACAGGCCAGATGGTCCCTCTTGTATTTAGTGTGAAGGACATGTGGTTTTCTATGAATACATTTTTTAATGAATACATTTCCTTCCAGAATAAACGTTGACATTTCTGGAAGGTGTTCACACTTGGCTTTTTCTTGATAAATCTATCAATATTTGTGAACTGTATTTGAAAACAGAGGTTTGTGGAAATGCTCCTGAACCTATGCAGTGATGTCTACACTAAAATCAAACCTGTTTTTTAATGCAGTGGCTCCTGAGGACCAAAGGATCAAGGGCATCATATATTGACCTTTGACCATACATTTTGCAAACATAAATTCCTACAGATTTTTAAAAGGGGGTTTTGGGCAACCTTGACGTTTTTTACCTTTATACCTGTAATAATTTAATTTCCTCATCAAAAGCACGCCCAGAGTGTTGCTTTGACTCATTCCTGCATGCTTGAGAGATCCTTGAATCTCCTGTTGTAGCCATGTGGAGCTGCCTAAATGCTTGCTGGTACAAAGCTTCGTATATTTGTACAAAACTCCTCCCTATTGCTCAGTCTGCAGTCGAGCCCCTGCCCCAAAGAGCACCTCTCCCACACAGCTCCACTAGACCTGAGGGAACTGCATGTCTGTCCCTTTCAGATTAAAAGATGCTATCATCAAGGAAATGCATTTTTGGATGCCAAGGAGACCCTCTTACAACGTTCCTACAAAAGATTGGAAACGGCACGAAACTTGGTTGTGAAGATGTGCTGAAGTGGGAGTGATGAAAACAAAAGGTTTTTAAAGAGACAGAGGACAATTTCAAGGCGTTTAGATATGATGCAAAGTTAGATTTATGCTTATATAAACAGCATTTTCATAACAACTGAAGGTAACATCGGTAATTAAATTTGGTATAGAATTGAACTATGTGCATGGGAAATACATAAACCTTCCCAATCCCACCCTTAAAATATTTGGATGATATAATGAACTAATGATTGGATTATTGTAGTCGTCCCAATTTTCTGTTGAGAGCCATTACCATGAATTTGTTTCACTTTTTTAGGCACACTGTTCCCTCTGTACAGTTTTACTTCAGAGAGATTCAGTCATTCGACTGAACATTTGTCAATTACCTTCAATTAATTGCAAAATGCTCCTCCAGCTGTTTCTTTTTTACTACTGCTTACTTTCATAGCTTTTTTTTATTTCATAGAGGAACTCTACAACTCCCACTGCTTCAGAAGGTCCCAAAGCATCCTGGTGGATTCATCCATCCCTGGTCAGTAGCTGTTTCCCTCTGGGAGGCGCTATAGAGCTCTCAAGATAAGACAAACTAAAGAAGAATCTTCAATCCCAGGTCTCTCATTGTACTTCCGTTTAAAGGGATAGTTCAGATCTTTTGAAGAGGGATTCTGTGAAAAGGTTACTTACTGTAGACAGTTTTTTGAATGGCCTAAGTTCTGAATGGATCGATGTTCTAATGTTTAGTCCAAACTAAGACTAAAGTTGTCTGGTATCATCCTAAATCAGCTCCAGTCTCACAAATTAATGTAAAACCGGATGTTTGACACCCCGGGTCTAATGTGTGTCAACTAGTGTGCAGGAAACCAAGCTGCAATTAGTAGACAAAAAACAAATCTCTAGATGCAGATTGGCTGATTGATGAGATTGCTCTGCATGAAGATGAGCTGCAGTGATGACATCATCCAAGCCTTCATCCTAACCAACCACACCCTATCCATTCTGCAACATGAACCAAATAGTTACTTTGTAAATATAACTGTAGGAGTTAGAGTGGGCTGGCATTTATTTTAAAAGTCATTATCTCTTGTTCATTATTTATTTATTTATTTATTTATTTATTTATTTATTTATTTATTTATTTATTTATTTATTTATTTATTTATTTATTTATTTATTGTAGGCAATTTAAAAAAATGACAATAGTTTGGATTTTGTTTGTTTTGGCTTTAACCCTACCCTGAAGCCCATAAAAACTTAATCTTACAAGTTAAGAAGGATGTGGAAATCACAATTTTTTTTGATGAATGCTCAACTGTAGGAGGTGCCAGAGGATTGAACCCAGGGTTCAGGCATCATGAAGAACTCGAGGATAAGTTAAGACTTTTATTTGAATAAAATCGAAAAGATGTCGGGGAAGCAAAAACCTACAAGAGGTACAGAAGGACTGAGAGCTACAGAGAGTCATACAAAAAAACAATAATCCAACAAGGTGGTGGCAACTGCTCTTCTTCTGAATAAATGAAAACTATGTAGCGCATTGTTTACACTTAAATTTAAAATATTTGACCAAAGGAAAACCGGAGCAGGGCTCGAGAGAGATGAATATGATTTAGATTTTTGTTTCTGTGACTGTGTATGACCCATGGGAGACATGACATTAACAGCAGTCGTCATTTCGTTCCTTTAATTCCACAGCTGACGCTGCTAAAAATGACAGATTTACTTTTCTGGATCTCTGACAGCAGGACTTCAATCTCCAAACTTGTAAAGTTCTTCTTTTTACTTTGCGATGTCCTTTATGAATGGACACTTCCTGGTATGTGTGGCTGGAAACATAGCCTTATATTGTGTTTTTGGGGTGGTAATTATGCTAATCTCCTCTCCTCATTTGTTGAATCTGACATGGCATGTTCGTATGAGTCCTTCGTACGAACAAAAGTAAGAGAAATTTAGGATAAGAATATGAACATGTTCTTGCATGAGGCCCAATGCTTCCGGGACAGTACRGATTGTGTTTCCAGTATGGATCGGGCAGCCACATGCAGCTAACACTTCTCTACAGAACATCAAGCTTGTAGTTAGAGTAGGTGTCCAAGCTGCACGTCCAACTTCCAAAGCACAGGTACCACCCATATTGTTTTCAATTAACACATTTTGAATTCCTTTTTTACTGTCTTCAGCTGCATTAGAAGTGTTAGAAACCTTAGCAGACGCTAGTGCTAGCTACCAGGATTATGTCCCCTGCAAACGCTTCTTGTGACTGACTTGTGAACTAACATGAATTAAAATCATATCATGACAGTCTTTGGGAGATCAAGAAACATTGCATCATCATTCAAACAAATCAAYAGAATTTTATTTTATGATTAAACTGTTGACCTACACCCCTGAGTTAAATCAAGTAAACTTGTGGAAAAAAATTACTAGTTTCATATTTGCGGCTGGAGGGCAGTAATATGTCAATACACTAATTATTTTTCAGCTAAATCCTTGTCTTTTCTCTGCAGCTGCTTGGGTTGCACTAAAAATGAATTACATTCATGTTGTGTCCTGGCCACCTCTAGAGTGCAACATTAATAATTTACAAAGGCTTCCATGATTATTAGAGAGCAGCAGCTATCTGTGGCACTTCAGGGGACACTTTCAATGGGAAAATCACAATATTTCTACCTGAATAAACATTTAATTCAGAATTGATGTAAAGATGTGACGTCCAAATACGAGCCACTACCTTGCATGTTTGAACTGTTTTCCTGCTCCACCAAATTTGATTCAGAGACTGAACTTTCAGTATGTCTTCTAGTTCTACAGTATGCATTCAGATTCAATGTGATGAAGCAGAAAAACATCCTGAGGACCAGGATTGGACAGCAKTGATTTAAAGGTTTATAAAAGTGTTAACACGAACAACTTTGAAATGTTTGAAAAAACAATATGTCACTGGAGTAAGACAATTGCACTTGGTAAGATTCTTAAAATAAGAAAAATTTTAGCTAAGTGGTTTTAAGAATTACCAATTGAATTTGAGTCAAATTTCCAGGCTAACAATATAAATAATCTTACATATTCTGTTCTTGTTTAGTAAATCAGTCTCAATACAAGATCAAAAAGATATATATGGTTTTAAGAATTACCAATTGAATTTGAGTCAAATTT